GATCTTAAAGTAAAAGGAAAACAACAAGGCTTCCAGAGATAACATTGGAGAATATATTCAAGACTTGGTGTAGGCAAAGCTTTCTTAAGCAGGACCAAACACACTAACCATAAAGGAAAAGACTACATTTTCTTTGAAGATTTTATTTATTTATCTGTCAGAAAGAGAGAGAGAGCACACAAGCAGGAGGAGCAGCAGGGAAAGGGAGAAGCAGACTCCCCACTGAGCAAGGAGCCAGATGTAGGATTTGATCCCAGGACCCTGGGTCATGACCTGAACCGAAGGCAGACATTTAACCAACTGAGCCATCCAGGAGTACCAGGAAAAGACCACATTAAAAATAAAACTCTTAGGACGCCTGGGTGGCTCAGTTGGTTAAGCGGCTGCCTTCGGCTCAGGTCATGATCCCAGCGTCCTGGGATTGAGTCCCGCATCGGGCTCCTTGCTCGGCGGGGAGCCTGCTTCTCCTTCTGCCTCTGCCTGCCTCTCTGTCTGCCTGTGCTCGCTCACTCTCTCTCCCTCTGTCTCTGACAAATAAATAAATAAAATCTTTAAAAAAAAAATAAATAAAACTCTTGTTCATTAAAAGGCAAACCACAAAATTGGAAGAGACATTTTTCATATCAATAATTGCAAAGAACTAGACTATAAAAGGTATGCAAATGTTTAGTGTCAGAAGAGATTGTCAAAGAATGTTCTAAAGTGGTCAGAGTAGTTTCTATTTCCACCAGTAGTAAGTGAGAGTTCTTAGTTATCTTATTAACCCAGTAATTCTACTCTGATATATTGCTCAACAGAAATGCAAGCACATGTACACCATAAAATATCCATGACAGCATCATTTGTAATAGCTAAAAACTTGAAACAACTCAATGCCCATCAAGTAAAGTGGAACAATAAATTGTGATACAGCCATATGAGAATACTCCACAGCAATGAAAAGGAACAAAGTACTGCACAATATGGTTGAATGTCACAAGTTGTTGAGTGAAAAAAGTTAAATATAAAAGAGTATTTACTCAATGAGTCCATTAATATAAATATAAATATGGTGTTATAAATCAGGACAATGGTTACTTTCTGGGGTTTTTACCAAATGGAAAAAGGTACAAGTGCTGGTCAAGTTGTACATATTTCTAAACATGTGTTCTACTTCAATAAAACAAAAACAAAATGATTAGGCCCCATCTGAGTTTCTTAGCGCATCTTAAGAGGGATCAGGGTGAAAAGAGGACATGGGCTAGAAATGAGAGTGTGAGAACATCCTCTAGCAATAAGACAGGAAACTAGGAATCCAGGAGGAAAAACAGCCAAGGAGAAATTCATGGCAGCTAGATTCCTACGTGTTTGTAAAGAACAGAGTATTACATATTCATTTTTAAGTTGTGTTCTGGGCTGCGATTTGCTCCAACTTCTCTGACCCCCTCACCTTTCCCCCTTCAACTTTATTTCCCTCAAGCCATATATAAAGTTCACAATACCCTAAAAAATGGTAAAGCAGAATAAAGAAACGGATGATGTGGAGAGAAAAAAGTACTATGCTCTTAGGGGATAGGAATCCCAGAGGAAGTCATCTCTGAAAAGGTAACACTCGAATAGAGATCAAAAAGAATGTTCCAGACTGGGAAAAGTAAATGAAAGTCTCTGAGGCAGGATCTGCTGCGCACATTCAAAACCCAACAAGGAAACCAGTGTATGGGAGCTAAGGAGGATTATAGGAGATGAGATCAGAGAAATAGCCAGATGACGCTGGCTTTTCTGGGCCATGAATTTTACTGGATTTTAGTCTGAGTGAGATAGGAAGTCATTACAGACAGGGTTTTGAACAAAGAAATGACATAATCCAAGTTGTGTCAAACGTATTCTTCCAGTTGCCAAGGGAAGAACAGATTGCAGAGACGCAAGGAAGGATGCAGGAAAAATTAGGAGGTTTTCTAAGGGACACTGGCTTAGATGAAGCTGGCAGTGCTGGAGGTGGAGAAAAGAGGTTGATTCTGGCTGTATTTTGAAATTAGAGCCAGCATGACTTGTAGATGGATTGGGTATGGAATGAGAGGGAAACAGAGGTCTTTCAGGGAAGCCTTTAACTTTCTAACCTAAGAGCTGTCTATTGAATGAGCTTCTCTGAAAGCAGTTATTCTAATGGAGGCAGTTACTCATTCCATCTGTTTGCTCTTTTCCTTCTAGCTTCCCTGTCATATAAGATCCTAACAGGATTCTTGCCTTTAGAGGCAAAAGGCTCCAGTGACTTCTAAAGATATTCCAAGTACCAAATACTCTGGAGCTTTAAGGCAGTCTGATCGTGATCCTGTACTTGATGAATTTTTAGCCCATACAGTTGTAAAGTAAATTTCCTACACCAAAGTAACTTTTTAAGTGCTGTGTACCTTTTTCACACATACACATTTTTATACTTGTCAAAATGGGTCAAAATGAACAGCAGAGACAGCTGCTTTGGGGCAAGCAGACACCACACAAGCATGAGACTGGCAGATACTGATATTTGAAAGAAGGAAGAGATGCCTTGTCCTCCTGGCCTTTGGAAATCATTATGAATACAGACTATACCAGAAGAAAGTGCAGTTAAAGAGCAAATGATCGAATTGTAAACAAACACCCTAACATTTTCAAACCCCCTCCCCCAAATGCTATCTCTTTCAAAGCAATTACCTTCAGAGTAATCTACCAGTGTTTCATAATAATACATTGTCACATTGGTGCTGCTGTTGCTCAAAGTTCACCTGGAACCCTTCTTTGGGAATTTGTCCTAAATGGGAGTTGATGTGACTTTTTTCAAAATGCAGTTTTTCCAGTGGTCAAGTCTCTGGGAAGCTCTGCTGTCAAGAATCTCAGATTCTCCTGGTTGGCAGGAACGTCAGAGTTTATAGACTATCTAGTATGTTTGCCTTCCCATGTCATCACTAGTGACAAGCAGGCATCTAAATTCCGTTTCAGTTCCTGGAGGGAGGGCAATGTGGTAAATACTGCCATGGCAGCCCTTTGAAATCTTCTCACCCAGCTCTGATTGTCAGAAAGTTTCCGTTCATTTTGAACTGAAAGCTGTCCCACCATACCTTTCATCCACTGGTCATAATGGAGTGTGAGGCAGTATTTCCCAAAGGTTAGGCATCTGTGTACCACCTTCATCATTTGGCCATTTCTGCCATATCCAAATATCACTGGTCTTATTCATTCTTTAATACCTTTCTTTGAAGTTACCCAATTTTCTTAGGTAAGTAAACTTACCTTAAATGAAAGCTACAACATCTTGTAAGTGGAAAACCTTTATCAGTCAGAAATTAACAGTGTAAGGAACAATATCAGAAGGAAGCAAAAGCAATGATATTAAATTCTACTTAGGAACTGTTGCCTAGCAAAGGTGTTGAGCCTGAGGCAGGCTTTCTCTTTGTTAAAAACAGATTAGCAATTGTTAGAGAGGTGTAAAGAAAAAGAATCACAAAAATCGATTGTTCTTCTTTAGGCATAATCCGTAGAATCTAGAGAACTGAAAAGGACAGAACTTCTTTCACCATGTGATCCACTGTTATTTAACTTCCTCACCTGTATACCACTCAAAGCCATCTACTACATCCCCAGAGGGAGATGTACACACTGGAACTCACTGGCAAAGGGGTCAAACACCTTGGCTTTGGTCAAACTACTCAGATTTCAGGTCATGCTTCTGCCACCTCCTAACTGCTGTAAGCTTCAGTTTCTTCTTCTTTAAAATGTAATAAAAGCTCTTCAGAGTGATACTTTCTTAATTAAAGACATTTAAACGTTATGCCCAGGTGTGAGTTGATCACAGAAAAGTATTAATTCAGCCCAAGGCTGCAGTGTCATTCAGTTTTGGGGGGGAATTATTTCAGCTTTTGGGCACTGACTACATTGTGCTTGAAGCCAACTACAATCTTCCAGACATCTTGATATGGACGCCTGCTGAGCCAAATCCCCCACTGTGAACTTGCATTGCTGGGCATTTGGGCCTGAAGGAGGGCTTGGCATTTATTCTTATTAACTAGATTCTCCTCTTCACTTTATCCTGGTGCTTGAACATTTATGCAACTCCCCTTATGCTGCCTTCGAGGGGAAGTAAGTCAAAGGGCAGAACTTGGCTGTGATGAGGATGTATTTGAGAGACTACATTGAGTCTCTGCTCCTTTGAACCAAGAAAATGGAAACTTTTTGTGGAGTGACTACTACGTATCCGGCATTTTCCCCAAATACTTAACTACATTTAATACTCCAAGAATCCCTCAAGGTGTTAGCCCCATTTTACAGAGAAGAAATTTGATGTTTTTACTTGAAGTTGTTAAGCTTAGTAACTATGCAACTTTTTACTCTTTTGGCTTAATGTTATTTTGTAAACACTTCACCATGTTACTTCATCTTTTCCTTTAAAAATAACTATTCCCCTCTTGTTCTAAAAACATTTTGAGGCACACATGCCTTGATGTTTTTCATTTTAAGGATTGTGCAATATCTCATTAAGTTATCCTCCCATAATTTATTTAACCGATTTCCTATTGTTGACAGTTTGGCTTTGTTTGTTTGCTTTTTGTGTTTTTTATTACCATTAATTTATGGAGAAAGATAATAATCTTGCTACAAACATCTACACATAAACATTATTTTGTTTTGGAAATTTCCCCAAGAATGAAATTACTGCATCAAAGGTATAATAATTTTTGTCATTCTTTATAGATGCTAGCAAACTGCCCACCCAAAGGGGTATGTGTTGTTTGAGAATAAAAAGAAAAACACGGGTTTTCTACAAAAGAAATTAATTTTTCCTACTGAAAAAATATTCGAGCGTCTGATAGGTGGCGGGCGCTATGCCAGGCGCCCGGCACTGGAATGAGCAAGGCATCGGTCCCCGTCTATGAGGAGCGCAAGGTCGGATCGGTGCAGGAAACCACAAGCTACAGGTGCCTGCATCTGGCCGAGCCGGACGGCGAGTCCTACGGAGCAAGAGCTTGGACAGAAGCAAGGAGGGAGCTGTTTTCGAGCACCGAGAAAGTCTCGCAGCGTACGCAGCGCTTGACCCGAGTCTTGCAGAATGAGTAAGAGTTTGGGCATGGGATTTGTATTTATTTTACTGTGGCTCTCTGGCCTTTTACCAAAAAAAGAAAAAAAAAAAGTTTCCCACTGTTGGCACAGAGAACGTTGGTGGAGTCGCAAGCCCCCAACGTCTTAAAGCCTCTTTCCATTTTCGAGGAGGAGGGAAGGGGTTCTCTCCGACTGCGGGAGCAGGATCTGGGGTCCGGGAAATTCCTGGTGCGGAGAGGACAGGGGAGGACCTGAGCGTGGGACCCGCTGTTCTCGGGAGCCAGACCCAACGGGTGACCCCCGGGAGAAAGAAGAGGCGCCCTGGGCGCTGGGCTCCAGAGGAGTTAGCGCAGCTGGATCTGGGCTGGGAAGACCGTGAGGGTGCTGGGGTTACCAGGGGTGCGAGGTTACGGAGCAGCGGGAGAGTGGGCTCCGAAGGGAGCTGGGCTCCGCGGTCTGGGATCCCCAGGGGGCAGGCGGGCGGGGAGCGGGAGAGGGGCGGAGCTCGGAGGCCGGAGCCGCGGCGGCTGCCCAGAGGGTCTGCGGGGGCTGCGGTGGCCGCCCCGACAGCTGGCGCCTCTCCGAGACCTTGACCGAGACCGTGGGAGCTGGGCCCACCTGGCGTCCTGAGCTCAAATTCCTGCCCATCTTCGTGTAGATCCACAGCCAACAGGCCAACGCTGCCCGTGGTGAGGGAGCCCGGGCCAGGGCTGCAGGTAGGACCAAGGTACGCGAGGGGGGCGGGCGGAAAGTGCCACAATGCAGGATGGGCAGTGGCGGGGTCCAGGGACCGCATGGGCTCCGGAACAAACGAAGGGCACCCGTCGGAGCAGCTCAGCTCCAGGAACACCGGGTGCGTGGCTTGAGGGAAGTCAAGACCAAAGACTTCCAGGCAGAGGACCGACTGTTCAGTTACCCGCAGAAGCTGCTGGGGGTCGCCCTTTCGGTTGAACGGGAGTGCGTACCAAGACACGGGCTGTGGGTAGTGTGCTATGCCTGCGCCTTGTTTCTGCCTGTGGCGTTGTCAGAAAGAACTCCCTTTCCCTGTGTCTTAACAAGGGACCGGGCAGCTTTCTAGTATGTTCGCAATGGAAAGGGTGGGCCACCGTGTCAGCATCCAGCCTCCTTAGCCAAAGCCTCCAGGTGCCTTGAGGACACTGCCTCTGTGGCACCAAATTAGGGTGTCAGACCTGATCACCAGCTGCCACATTCCCTGTGGAGAAAAAATAAAAGGTACCAGACAGTAAGGGGTCTTTTATTATTTTTTAGGTTATTTTAAAACTGTAATTTTAACAGATAACACATGCACCTGGTTTTTAAAATCAAATATTGCAAAAATATTGTCTTCCACTTTGTAGCTTATTTTTTTTTACTCATGTCCTTTCTTATTCTTGCTCTGTCCCCTCCTTTTGAGTCTTTATCCCACCTCCTGCCTAAAGAAAGTACCAGAAGAAAATGACATCACTGCCACTGCCTGCATCTCGTAATCGCCAGTGTTCCCCACTGGCACAGCCCCTGCTGTCTTCAAAGTCTTTCACTGGGGTAGCCCTTTGGGGGCAGGGAGCCCACTACTGAGAGGACACTTCATTTACTTTCCTTAACTCTCCCAGCCTTAGGGAAGAGTCCATGATGAGGGCTAAACTATGTTCTTTCCCTTAAACTAGAATTTCCAAGTGTGACTTAAGTAGAGTCTGGTACTGAGGGGAATTGATGAAGGGTATTTCCTAAAATGCACTTGATTTCCAGGAATTAACACCTCAGGAGTTCCTATTCCTGAAAACACAATTTTGCCAATTATGGCTCTGAGTAGCTTCTCCCTTCTCCACCCAGGCCCAACAGAGTGGCAGGCAGAGGATTCTTCCTCTGAAAGAACCTCAAAAGATAGGATGTTTTATACTTGTGAGGGGGCTCAGGGACATAGCTTTGTGGCAGACAACGGAGGTGGGGAGGTGGTGGGGAGAGATGTAGAAGAAGGGTTAGAGAGGAACACAGAAGTAGGAAGGGAGGAGCAGGCCAAGATTCTTGAGAAGAGAAGAATCCTGAAGCATAGGGCCCTGTCATTTAGGAATAATCTCCAGATAATTTTGCTATGAGACCGCACATGTGGCGTAACTTCTTGCTAACAATCAGCACAATCAACTCTGTTCCAACGCTTTTACTAGGCAAGGCCAAAATATATTGAGAAATGAAAAAAAAAATCAACAAATAAACCCATTTTTATCTATATGACAAAATAGAAGTAGTTTAAATTATTTTTAAGAATTAATAGGTTTTTTTAGGAGTTACATAATGTTTAAAATAACCTAATAGGGGGCATCTGGGTGGCACAGTCAGTTAAGTGGTCGAGTCTTGGTTTCAGGTTAGGTTATGATCTCAGTGTTGTGGGATGGAACCCCTAGTCAGGCTCTGTGCTCAGGGCAGTGTCTTCTTCTTTTTTTTTTTTTAAGATTTTATTTATTTATTTGACAGACAGAGATCACAAGCAGGCAGAGAGGCAGGCAGAGAGAGAGAGGAGGAAGCAGGCTCCCTGTGAGCAGAGAGCCCTATTCGGGGTTTGAATGCAGGACTCTGGGATCCTGACCTGAACCAAAGGCAGAGGCTTTAACCCATTGAGCCACCCTGGTGCCCTGGACAGTGTCTTCTTAAGACCCTCTCTCTCTCTCCCTCTCCCCCTCCATCCTGCTCTCTCTTCTCTCTGAAATAAATATATAAATCTTTTTAAAAATAATAAGTAAATGGGCGCCTGGGTGGCTCAGTAGATTAAAGCCTCTGCCTTCAGCTCAGGTCATGATCCTAAGGTCCTGGGATCGAGTCCCACGTCAGGCTCTCTGCTCAGCGGGGAGCCTGCTTCCTCCTCTCCCTCTGCCTGCCTCTCTGCCTCCTTGTAATCTCTGACAAATAATCTCTTGTCTGTCAAATAAAATATTTAAAAAAAATAATAATAATAAAAAGTAAAGAAAATACCCTAATAAGTACTCTAAGTCACTACATTTCCTTTATTTTGCTCATTTTATTCATGTTGCATTACCTAGACCTGGATCCCACATGTGTCAGAAAGTTCAGGTTGGGGAGAAGCTGCCACTTTTAAGAAGCCTTTTTTTTTTTTTTAAAGATTTTATTTATTTATTTGACAGAGATCACAAACAGGCAGAGAGGCAGGCAGAGAGAGTGGGGGAAGGAGGCTCCCCGCTGAGCAGAGAGCCCAATATGGGGCTCGATCCCAGGACCCTGAGATCATAACCTGAGCTGAGGGCAAAGGCTTAATCCACTGAGCCACCCAGGTGCCCCATAAGAAGCCTTTTTGAATGGAGGTTAGTAAGGGAGTAGATTTGAAAATAAGGACTGATCCTTGTGGTAGAGCAGGGAAATAATGAGGAGGAATGAATTGACTACCAGCTTGAGTCTCATAAGGAATCAGGTATAATTCTTAAGAGAACATGACAATGATTCATTCATTCATTCATTCATTCATTCATTCATAATGTTTATAGAGTGCCTGGCTATGTGTCAGTCACTGGAGGAAAAAATGGTGAAAAAATGAGGGAAGATCTCTGATCTCCTGGAGCTTACAGATGCTTCAGGGAGACAACTGTTAATAAAATAACAAAGTATTGAATTTGTAATTACAAACATAAAATAAGTTCCCTAAAGTAAAGAAATAAAGTTCTTTGAGGGTGTATACAGATTGTACTGCAAGACCAAGGAAGGGTTTCTCAAGGAGGTTTCCCTTCAGCTGAGATTCCAGAGGAGGTGGAAATATTGAAGATATATATGGTTTTGAGATAGGAGCAGAATGTATCAGCTAGAAATTGCATTTGGCTGCTAGTAATCAAGAAGTCTGGCTGCCACGTAGTGTTTGCCATACAGCATGTGCATACATGTAGAACTAGCATTTCTGAAAATCTGGAAAAGGATTCCTTGCTGTCACAGTATCATCTGTGCTGTCTTGAGTTGGCCATGGTTTTCCATTGCTGTTATTCTTGCTTTTAAATGAACTGTTTAATTTCATTCTTATCAGTTTATTTTACTATGCATAATAAAATATGTGCATTGTGGTTCAAATATGAATCATCTATATTCCCATTGCTAAGGTAGATATGCATGTATCTGCCATACCAAATTTGACTTGTACATGACAACTCATTGTTATCACTTTCCCAGTGAAAAGAAGTGTGGCAGATAGACTACAATATCTTCTCTCCACTCTTATCCACTGCTGTAATTGGCAGGATGTCAAAATGTTCAGTTACTCTAAAGCTGCAAGTACCTCTTCAGAGTTTCATATTCAGTCCTTTAGTAAAGAAAAACAATTACTAATTGCATTGATGCTCTAAGTAAAAGCAATATAAATTTCACAATGTATTAACGTGGGGTGCTCTGACCAAGCAACATACTTCACATGCGAACAAATATTTTCATTCATCCAACAATATTTGCTGTAAATCTTCTATATGCCCAGCACTGTGCTAGATACTATCGATAAAATGGATTAGTAAGACATAGTCCCAGCATTTAAGGAATTCATAGAAGTTTAAGACGGGGGACTTATGCTTACTCATGTAAGGATGGGAAAGCACTGTAGTTGCCATAACTAAAGCATAATTAGGGAACGTGATACACAGGGAGCCGAGGGGTCTATTTCACCAAGGAGAGGAGGAGTTGAGGAAAGGTTCATGGATGAGTTAACACTTGAGATGAATCTTGAAAGACGAGACATTCCTCAAGATAAACAAAGGAAAGAGGAAAGAGGACATTATAAAAGAAGGGATTTGTGTGGAAAAACAAACCAAAACAAAGTGTGGAACAGCATGCCAAGGTCCAGGACATGCAAGTGGCTCAAAGAGCTGAAGCATAAAGAGCAAAAAGGGGCTCATGAAGGGATGAGGCTGGAGTAGTGAGCAGACCAGGTCACGGAGAACCGGCGTGCCATCACATGGATAAATGCAGGTTTTAAAATATGCACAGTGAAAGCACACAGACCCAAGTTTGAGTCACAGCTCTGTCACTTTCTAGC